GGGGGGGGATATGGGGACAAGGGTGTGGGTGTGTGTGGGGGCACGGGAGGATTTGGGGGAGACGAGGGGATGGGGGAAGGAAGGGAGGAATGTGGGGACAGAGGCGGATGTGGGGACGAGGACATGGGGCACGGAAGGGCACAGGGGACGTGAAAGGGGGATGAGGGTCACCATGGCGCTGAGGCTCTCTGTGTCCCCAGATACCAGTGGAGGACCCTATCGTGTCCACGGATGAGGTCATCTTCCCCCTGACCATCTCACTCGACAAGCTGCCGCCTGGCACCGTCAAGGCCAAGGTGAGGCCGAGGAGGAGGGGACGGGAGGGGACCTTGGGGACAGCATGAGGACCTCAAGGATGGGAGGGGACCTCAGAGACAGCATAGGGATGTGGGGGACAGCATGGAGGGGATCTTGGGAATGATATGCAGCCACCAGGGGCGGGGTCTTGGGGACAGCGTGGGACCACAGAACTGGCACAGAGATCTACCCCTGGTGCCCCTTTCTGGGTCCATCTCGGGCAAGGTGGAATCTGGGGCCTTGGTCACAACGTGGGGACCTTCGGGACAGCATCGTGGCACGGGGTGGGGAGCAGGAGCCAGCTCTGCTCCCCCATCTCCGGGTCTACGAAAGCCACTTGGGGCAGGTGTGGGGGGACGGGAGGATCCATGAGGAAAGAGGGGGAGCTCGGGGCTGGACCAGGGCCAGCCGTGCGTGACCTGATGTCTCTTGCTGTCCCCAGATCGTGGTGACAGTGTGGAAAAGGGACACGGAGCCGCCTGAGCTGCAGGAGGGTGGTGGGTACCTGAGCCTGCTGCAGACCCGGGCGCCTGCACATGTCTTCCGCCAGGAGCAGGGGGCTTTCAAGGCGCAGGGTAGGAGTGTCTCCGCATCCCCTCTCCCTCCCCATGTCCCCATCGTGTCCTGTGTCCCCATGTCCTGTGTTCCCTGACCGCTGTGTCCCTGCAGTGAGCACCCTGCTGACGGTGCTGCCCCCGCCCGTGGTGCGATGCCGCCAGCTCACCGTGTCTGGGAAGTACCTCACTGTGCTCAAAGGTGAGTGGGACAGCACAGTGGCATGGCGACAGGGGTCTCGGAGGTGGCTGGGATGGGGACATGGGTCTCAGAGGTGACTGTCACGGGGACAGGGGTCCAAAGGGTGGCTGGGATGGGGGTCTCAGAGGTGACTGTCATGGAGACAGGCGTCCCCGGGTGGTGGGGACAGGCGTCCCAGGGTGGCTGGGACAGGGGTGGCATCTGTGGGGCAGCCGCGACAGAGCAGAGGACGTGG